TTTGTGAAAGATAGTCCTTTCTTGTGATTGATAGTCGTTACGTGTGCGTGATAGTCCTTTGGTGTATGTTATATTCTTTGAGTGATAGTCCTTAAAAGTGTTAGTCCTTTGAATGATAGTTATTCCTTGTGAGAGATAGTCCTTTGTTGTGATTGATAGACCTTTGGTGTGAGTGATAGCTCTTCCTTGCGAGTGATAATTCTTTAGTGTGAGTGATAGTCTTGTAGTGTGAGCGATAATTCTGCCTTGCAAGTTATAGTCCTTTGAGTGATAGTCCCTTTGTGTGAGTGATAGTCCATTGGTGTGAGTGATAGTCCATTGGTGTGAGTCCTTTAAGTCCTTCCTGGCGAGTTATAGTCCGTTGCTATGAGTGATAGTCTTCCCTTGTACGTGATATTCTTGGGCAGTCTCTGAGCTATTGTTAGTTATTGATTTCGTTTTCACCATGAAAAGTCGCTTCGAGTTTTTAATTTGTTGTTGGGTTTTTTTTTCCTAAAATATATGATGTCAGATTCTGTGAGAGCGGCTTTATCCGGGTCTTCTTAGATCCAAAAAAAGAGAGTTGCATTTATACGGGTCACGCTGACCTTAGCGCGTCTGGTCGAGCAGGGAGCGAAGATTGGTAACTGGACATGTTTTTTTTGGACAAGTTTTCTTCAAACAAAATACTCCAGACAAATTATTCCAGACAAAATATATCAGAAAAATATTTCAGACAAAATATCTCAGAAATATATTTCAGACAAAAAAAATCCGGCGAATTACTATCATCAAAATATCTCGGACAAATAACTTCGACAAAATATTTCAGACACAATATCAGATAAATCGTTACTAGACATAAGATCACACGACAAAATGTATCAAACAAAACATTCAGTTACGTAGTGTTAATTCTGATAAATTATTGATAATAGTTTTGGTTTTACTATCGGATATTTAGAATACATCTTGGGTTGATTTTTTCTAAGTTTAGTTTTAAAAAAACAAAGAAAACTATTATTAGACCTAACTTTAAACTGAAAAATGTGGGTTTTTCTATAGAAGTCCCAAATAAATATTCCTTATTTTTTTATTTATTTCCTAATACCCAATAAAGTTGATGAATTCAGTTAAACCAATTAAAGATTAAACTTTTAACTTTTAGAACATCGTATAAGATGCTTGTTATAATTGAAAGAAAAAGTATTTTAAAATTTAGAAATTAATACATTTTAATAAGTTTTAATGATAGATTATACTTATCTTCTTGTAGTCACTTGACCTCTGTGATAAAACGTGATAAACTAAAAAAAACTACGGTCTATTTTCAGACAGAACATACGATTCAGATCTAGGATTTTATTTTTGTAATTAGCTTTGACTAAGACGTCTACAGTAAATAGCGTGATATTGACGTCACTGTTTTAACAGATGTAAATTAAATAAACCGGGAGTGATCTCCCCTAAACTTTCTCGAATATTCTTATATAAAATAACAGGGGATGGGAACTCGGGCTATAGACATGATTTTTAATCCATTTTAAATACTTAAAGTTTTAAAAATAGAATAAAATCTCGTAGACAAATTAATTGCACACCAAGTGAACGAGAATAAAAAAGCGCATAATAGTGCGCAATATTATTAGTACTTTTAAAATTTACATTAGTTTTTTGAGAAATCGGAAGTAGCGTAAATAAGTACTTCCGGTCAACGAAAAATTCTCAAAATTTGACAGAAGGTAGAGAATTAGATCTTTTACTTACATATCAAATTTCATTTATCTATCTGAAATAGTACTCAAGTTATAGGCTTTTGAAAAATTCAAAGTAGAAAAAGTACCACTTCCGGTTATCCGAAATCGCTCAAAAGTTGATACGGATCTACGATTTTGATAAAATACTTATATATGAAATTTCATCAACCTAGCTGTAACGGTACTCAAGTTATCGTGTTTACACACGGACACACACACACACACAGACACACAGACATACGGACAGAATTGCAAAGCCCAGTTTTTCAGACTGGAATACGCATAAAACCTTTTAATTTTGATAAATCTGGATTGATAATTTTTGCCCGATTAAAATAAGTCCTCTATACTTCGGATGTGATGAAGGACTGAGGTGTAATACGGTGAAAATAGTTAAAATTTCAAGTGATTTTTGTGCACGATTACAATACTTTCTCTATACTTCGTATATACGAGAAAGTAAAAATAGTATCAGCATACTACATGAACCAAACATATATCTAACTGAGGTATAACAAAACTAATATCAACATACTATTTCAATCAAAGATATATCTGATGTATGACAAAACTAAGATTCACAAACTAAATCAATCAAAGAAATATCTAACTGAGATCAGGCAAAACTAGGATTCAGAAACCATCAAACAAAGTTGCAAGTCAAATAGGGTAGACAATGATAGATCTAACCTAGACTCTCTTCTAGACAAAAAAGTTTGGTCCTTAGATGACGTAATGAAATGTTTATGTCCATTCACGATAAAAGCCGTTTGTTTCGGGAAATCTTCACATCTTTTTGGAAACTGAGCCAGGTTTATAAATATTTTGTTTTTAAATATACGCTTTTTAAATAGTATTTTTAACAGTGGTGCATTGATATATATTTTAAACAAATAATGTATTTTTTCTTTGTAGTGCATTTATAAAAATCTTGTCGTTGAAAGGTTTAAAGTCAGTTTCTTAAACTTGTTTTAACAGCACTGCGTGATACAATTCAAGTAAGCAAAATGATAACTAAAGAATATACATTTTGAAAACCGAAGCTTTCATTAAGTGCACTAAAGGCTTCTGAAACCTTTTAAGCAAGCAGGCAACGTTTCACGTTAATTTAATTGAGTTTGGAGTCTACAAACTAGGAAGAAATAATTACTTTTAAAGTGCCTTGAAAGCACATTAAGCATTTGTCATTTCGTAGATTTTAAGACGTTAATTTTTTCAATATTATTTATTGGTTTTCTTTGTCTGTGAGCGCTTAATAAATTAAAAGCACATTAATTTAGCTAATTGGTCGTGTACCCACCAGACTAGCACCACGATTGTATACAACAGACTGCATTTAGATAACTCAATGTTTTGTAATAAATAATTTACAGACTGAGTAATGATTGATTCTTTAAGTATATTTGTGTCTTTTTTTTGTCTACGAATTTGTTCGAGGTTGCTGAAAACTTGGTAAGTTTTTAATTACATTTCTTCAGACTTGTGACCAAGAACAAGTTTGTAATTAATTTAACGTTTGTTATTTTCGTTAATTTGTACATGTATGTGTCCGCTTGTATTTTACTAAAGAAAAAGAAAAATAGAATAATGCTTTTAAAAATCTTAAATACTTAGCTGAGAAATTTTAATTACATAGTGACTACATGGTTGCATGCACAAAATGTACTTAAAATGTAAGCAGTTTTCTGTCTTACTTGTGTGGGTGTTCTTTTTGGTATTTTTTTTAATGAAGAAATTATGTATATTGTGATTTAATAAACCGGTAGTGATCTCCCCTAAACTTTCTCGAATATTCTTATATAAAACAACAGGGGATGGTAACTGGGGATATAGTTATGATTTTTAATCCATTTTAAATACTTAAACTTTTAAAAAAAGAATAGAATCTCAGTAAAAAACAATTGCGCACCAAGCGAACGCCTAATAAAGGTGTGTATAGTAGTGCGCAATAGTATTAGTACTTAATAAATTTACATTAGTTTTTTGAGAAATCGGAAGTAGCGTAAATTACTACTTCCGGTCAACGGAAGCTACTCAAAATTTAACATAAGGTAGAGAATTAGATCTTATACTTGTGGAATTTCATTTATCTATCTGAAATAGTACTCAAGTTATAGGCTTTTGAAAAATTCAAAGTAGAAAAAGTACCACTTCCGGTTATTGGAAATCGCTCAAAAGTTGATACGGATCTACGATTTTGATAAAATACTTATATATGAAATTTCATCAACCTAGCTGTAACGGTACTCAAGTTATCGTGTTTACACACGGACACACACACACACAGACACACAGACATACGGACAGAATTGCAAAGCCCAGTTTTTCAGACTGGATTACGCATAAAACCTCTTAGTTTTGATAAATCTGGATTGATAATTTTTGCCCGATTAAAATAAGTCCTCTAAACTTCGGATGTGATGAAGGACTGAGGTGTTATACGGTGAAAGATGTTAAAATTTCAAGTGATTTTTGTGCACGATTACAATACTTTCTCTATACTTCGTATATACGAGAAAGTAAAAATTGCAACAAACATCTAATTTAAACCACACTGCCTTATTTTTTTAAATAAAATAGAATATAGTTTCCGTTATGTCTATTTAAAGGTTATAGCCTTTCTTACCCTAACCGAACATGAGAAAACTGTATGTAAATGTAACCCAGAAACTCCAAACGATTTAAAGAAGCCAATAAAAATCGGTTCATTTCTGCGTGAAATTGGTGTTTTATTAAGGAATGGGCAACTACTCTGTACTGACATAAAGACTGATTTAATTGACGTGATTTTTGTTATGTTTTAATCAATATTTGGGATCGTGTTTTGACCAGAGACAGGAATACATACAACCGCCCCATCAAGACATAAATCTAAAATTAGCATCACGGGTGCTGGCAGGGTCTAGGGTAATGTTCATTTAATCAACGCTACAAACGTTTAAGGGGAGTTAACCCAATTTTTGTGAAGCGTCTTCAGGTCAGCTGTTCCGTTAGTGAAGTTAGGAGAAAAAGAAAAGAAACTGACATTGAACTCAGTTTTAAAATATTTCATTAATCTTGTTTCCGTGTTTAGAAAGTAAGAATATTTTTCTCAGATCCAATGCAATATATTTTCAAATGCATCACGCACAATAGTTTTTATAAGACAATATTTTAGGAAAGACGACATTGAGTAAGCTAGCATAATATTACAGAAATTTCTGTGAAAATGTCATCGGCGACAAGGGCAAACTTTATTCTTCTATTGTTAAAACGAAATATTAGTACAAGTACATGCCTTTTGCGGAGCTAAAACAGGAAAGCCATGGGACGAACGGTTTCCTGTAAGAAAAGAAGATGTTACACCTGATAAAAAGGGAGGCAGTAGAAAAATGGCACAAGTTTTACCAGAAAACATTGTGGCTCCAACTGGCGTATACCATAGAGCAGGGGTTCCCAACCCCCTGCCCGCGGGCGCCATGGCACCCGCCGAACGATTCGTATGTGCCCGCCTCTCACTATTCTCTCATTATTTTCATAAACATTATTGAAAGGTTGAAGGGGATGGAAATCGAAAGTTTGAGGGGGGGGGGGGGGGGTGTGCAAATCGAAAGTTTGAGGGGGGTGCAAATCGAAAATTTGAAGGGGGGGGTGCAAATCCCCGGGTGACGGGAAGGGTCGCTACGCCTTTGGAAGGAGTTTGTCGATTTAAAATAGGTGGTGCCCGCCACCCTACCGATATTTTAAAATGTGCTCTAGAGTAAAAAAAAAGGTTGGGAACCCCTGCATAGAGTAACCAAAAAGTATATACATGTGCCAGAAATGGTGCCAGAGTTTGTTGTGCCAGACCTTACTGGGTTTGAGCTTAAGCCTTATGTGTCATACAAAGCTAGAGAGATTACTCAGTTACCTTTAACACCCCAAGACATTTTCAAAAATGTTTATGCTGAAGAAATAAAAAGTAGCTTTGAAAAGGGCGAGCTCAAAATAGATGACAATAACATTGTATTAGCTAATGGAAAGAAAATAAGCATTGACCAATAAATAAATAAAAAATAAATAAATAAATAAAATATTTTTAAAAAATTCAAATTGTACAAACTTCCAAGTTTACAGATTATATGTTTTTTTTTATAGAAATAGATATAGGCATATATTTTATGGTAGGCTTAGAAATGTCGAAACGCTGAAGTAAGCCGGTTTAAGGAAAAAATCTATGAAAGCCATCGTCTATTTTAGGCCATTGTTGTAGTTTACGGCAATGGCGTAGTAAATGGTGAGAACTGCCGTTAATATTAAAGTAGTTGGAAACCTTGCACGAATTATAAAGACGGCTGTACCATGAATATAGACGGTTGTAATAGCGTCTATATAATGTACTAAGACGGCTGTATCATGTTTAATCGCCTTTATATAATGCAGTGTTTCTTCCAGACTTTTTTTTCCGGGGGTGCTCTTGAAAAATTGGGGGGGGGGGGGCGGACACTGTCAAAAGTATATATTTTCTATATAAATTCCATTTCGTTCGGGGGGGGGGGGGGGGGCAGTAGACTTTCTTCGGCGGTCCCCCCCCCCCCCCCCCTAAAGAGATGCCTGGAAAAAACTCTGATATAGTGTACAAAGACAGCTGTATAATGTATAATGGCGCCCTACAATGTCTATAGGACGACTATATAATGTATAAAAACGGCTGTATAATGAAAGATGGTTGTATAATGTATAAAGACAACATTATGCATAAAGACGACTGTATAATGTATAAATATATATCTATAATCTAAATCTATATAGACAATCGTACAAAGCGTAAAAAACGGTTAGATATTGTCAAACGGCGGCTGGACAAGAAAAATAAAATTATTTTAAAACTCTTTCAAATCTCATTAATCTTGCTTTAATCTTAAAAACGCTGTGTTATTAACGAATTAAAAACACGATTTTCCCTGAAACTCTATAGCAGTCTATTAAATTAGAAACATGATCTAAGAATCAACTTTTATCTTCGCGTGTCGCCGGTCCTGTGTACCGATTTATTTACGTCGCTGACTGCAGAACACGGAAAACTTTATCTGCTAACCGTGGACTGGTTCCTGTTTTGTTGAAGAAAGTTATTTTTAGTCACAAGAGAGTCTTTATCGTTATTAGTAACTCATGACATTTGCTGTAGGCGATCTATGAATCACTTATGGATATTTGTTTACAATTAGTTCTAGATACAACAGTCATTATCTAGCTAATACACTTCCTGGTCTAGAAATAACAATTTATGTTCTAGATCAGGGGTCTCCAAACTTTTCAGTCCGAGGGCCGCATTAACTATCAAATTTCAGTTCGGGGGCCAGTTTCTTCCAGGCTAAGTTCCACATCATCCCCAACAAACGATTTTTCCTTGGACAAAAAGATTTCCGCGGGCCGGATGAGAGGACTTCGCGGGCCGCATCCGGCCCGCGGGCCGTAGTTTGGAGACCCCTGTTCTAGATATATATATATATATGTATATATAAAGATATAAGTATTTACAAGATAAAGATCTAACGATCTATGCATACAACTCAATGTCTAGATGCAAGATAACAACTTACATGAAAAAAAATATCTGCTCTATTTCAAAATAAAAAAGTAAGGGTTGAGATGGTTTAAAAATTCATCAACCAACAATGATTAAAAAATGTGTAATTTATTGACAGCTGAATTCATGTTAAATAAGTGTTTAGTATGATTGGAATGCCGTTACTAATTGGTAAGCGAATGGTCAAACCTTTTACGAGATTTGGAGGAAAGAACAAACATAAAAAGTAGAGGCATAAAAATAAACAGACAATTAACTATCCGTGTTATTAAAAACAGAGAGGTAGTTTTATGTTACTGTACAGCGTAGTCTGTGACTAATTAATGATGATTAAAATATGACAAATAAATGATGATAAGGATTGACTAGAGACTTTAGGGTGGTGGTCATGTTGTTGGCAATACGGTTACTACAGTTCATATTTTATGTCTGGTATACGTCAGCTTTTAATATGGATGTGTGGTAGAACATCTCGAATTCTTTTTTAAACTTTCATCCCTGAGTTGATGGGTCACTGGTTCAAGTCTAGAGACCTGTGTGTCTAATTCTGACCACAATATATTCATATGTCAAATAAATATAGTATGGTATGGCTCCATAGTCTCATAGACCATTAGATGATTTTAAATTTGAAATCCAAGCACACAGTCCCGGTGGTAAAGATGAGAAGAGCCAGATGATGCCCATGTATCAGATCCCCTCCCTCCACAGCTGATGGACCCAACCAGTGGCGTAGGCAGGGGGGGGGTCATAACCCCCCCCCCCCATAGACCCCTCGGTATATATAAAAAGTATGAGGGGGGGGTGCAAATCGAAAGTTTGAGGGAGGGGTGCAAATCGAAAGTTTGAGGGGTGGGGGGGGGGAAACGAAAGTTTGAGGGGGGGGTGCTAATCGAAAGTTTGAGGGGGGGGGGGGTGCAAATTGAAAGTTTGTCCCCGGGTAAAAATTGGAACCCCCCCCCCTTGAGACGATCCTGGCTACGCCGCTGGACCCAACGGACAGGACGTTACCTGTACTGCTTGGAATCAGCGGTGTCGCAGTATCTGCTGAAAGGAAACCAAAACCTAAAGGGGCTCCACTCCTGTTTGGTTAGGAAATTATCTCTCCTTCGCTGTCCCCTGCTGTCGAACCTCATCCGCCCGAGGATTCGAACTCGGGACTTTACCCTATGAACCAATAAGGATGTGAGTACTTCGCTCTACCTTAGTACCTTAGCCTCAACGCACACGCATATCGTTAACTTTTCATCTATGGCCTTTTGTTTTGAATCTTCTCATCGTCCCTAGTGTTAGATGTCGCTTCTCTTAACCCCGCATCACATCCAGGTATTATCGATTATGTTATGTAATCCTGTCGCTAGAACACTCCGATTTCAATTAATTAAAGGTTTCTGTGTTTCCAGTTTCAACGGCAGATTAAATGATATCCGTTCACAATATCCCTTCTCGAAAATGATCATAGAATGTTGGATTTAATTATTTTCGTTATCAAGGACGTTTGAGATAATTTACGTATACTTATCTTAATTAATGTTAATTTTAATAATATTTAAATATTTAAATAATATGGAATATAAAATACATGAGTATGATATACAGGCGGACGTGCTTACACGAACACAGCCATACACACGCATACACGAATACTATGACGTACATATACGACTGCATGTACACTTTATATATGTTTTAATGTAATTCTCCTTTAGCAATAATAATATTCGAAAATTAAATATTTAATCTCTTTGTGGTTTGCCTTCTTTTTTTATAAATAATATGACAAAAGAAACATTTTGTTAAACTTTTATATAATAAAGCTTTGACTTTTGAGCCCTAAAAATCGTTTTACAACGTATTGTTCTCTCAGCTTTAATAACATTACAAAATCCATCATTAGTTACGTTTCCTGTCTGACAGTAAAAATCATTTCACAATTCGAGAGCTCGTTTTTTTGCATCAAGGAAATTATTTCCGTACAATGCCCCATCAGCAGATGATAAAAAAAAAACAAAGAAACAGTATACATATTCGGGGGCTTCCATTCGGTAACCGAAGCCAGTCACTGTAGAAATGTTCGATTACTTTAGATCATTAACTTCAACTAAAAAACTTTTTGGAAATATTCGATTACGTTTAACCCTTTAAAAAAACTACAATACCGAATGCTACAGCGAAACGGAATATTAAAAAATATTTCCTAATAGTTTGGTGTAATACAATATTGAAATATTTTTTAGTAATTTTCCCTTATTTCCTTTGCCGGACTTGATTTACATATTTCTAACCAAATTACTGGTAAAAAAAACTAAGACCCTACGGCTTCCGAAATACGAATATTTTCACGATGTATTTCTTTCGTGTCAAGTATCTCAAAAAGAATGTAAACGATTTTTTAATGCAGTCGTCTAGTACAGTGTCTCGACCGAATTTCACATCAACTACAGGACCAGTATAGAGGACTTTGTCCGACCTTTCGGTCGATAGTTTCGACAAATAGTCTCATTGTTTTCTTGTTTGCCTGTGCATTTTCTTGGGGACGACTAGTAAACAAGACTACCATCGCATGTCGTAATGGTGCAATTAAATTAAAAGCAAAATCAAATATTCAAGACAAAGCAGTTTTTTAATGCTCACGGAATGAAACATTTCATTATGTAGGTTTCGTGTTAAGAAATGGGAATGTTAAACAATTGTTTAGAATTTGCAGTCTTTGACCAAATGAGGTAATATGTATCCAACCCTTCAGTCAACAACAAAAAAAAAGAACTGTGTACTCCGAAAAGCAGTTTATATGGCAAGCGCCAAGCCCAAAGAAATCGTTCGTAACCTTACAAGATGTTATTGAATATAACGTATTCCAAAGTCTATCCAACTGAGAACCTAATAACCCTGCGATGTTGAAGTACACAATAATTGGCTAGCAATCAAACTAAAGACGTTTCCTCAATCACTATATTCTGCCTAAAGATTTTCACAAAGAGCTTTTGTAAACGAAAGTGGCGCCTCGTTCTATCTTCAGAATTCAACTCTTTACGATCATGGCCAGTGCCATTTAGGCTTTCATATTTTCATTTCAGTCTGAATGCATTGAAATTGAATTACAGCGAGTTTCATTCAGATTCCTTATATTAATTTATATTACATTATTTCATCAAACACGAACATATGTAGCCTTTAAAAACAAATCCTTAATTTAAAATATTTTAAGAAAAATAAGCAGACTAGTATACGTTTTCAAGAATGGGGATAAAAAAATGTTCTGAATGTATTGCGAAACTGCAGTAAATAATGTCGTGCTTGTCATTAAACTAGTAATGAAACACAAAGTCCTGTAAAAAGTGACATTTTGTTACAGTGAATATGTAAAGTTTGAGGGAAATCCAGACGCTTAAATTAATAATGAAATAAACTCGTTGTAGAATGTATGCACAAAGTAAGAATTGAATGCCTTTAAGGTTTTTAATCCGATGTACAC